TACAGGCTGAGCCACCGAGCCCGGCTGTTACTTCCAAATTAACCAGGATGCAGAAGAGGACTGAAGTTCATTTATCAGCCAGGCTCAGTGGCTCAGCCTGTAATCCCAGCACTTTGGAAAGCTGAGGCAGAAGGATTGCTTGAATCCAGGAGTTCAAGAACAGCCCAGGCAACAGAGCAAGATCTTGTCTCTATAAAAGATCGTGGGTTCGAGACCAGCATGGTCAACTTGGCAAGACCTTGTCTCTACAATAAAAATAAATAAGTAAAAAGAAAGCTCATTTATCTTCAATGTTTTGTATGAGTTCTTAAATAAAACATGGAAACCAATAAATAAATAAATAAAAAGATACTGGTACAGTTGCAGAGAAAAGGGAACATTACCTGCTGTTGGTAGGAGTGTAAATTAGTACAACATTGATGGAAAGTGGTTTGGAGAGTACTCAAAGAACTAAAAGTAAATCTGCCATTTGATCCAGCAATCCCCACTATCAGAGATCTACCTTAAGGAACAGAAGTCATTGTACCACCAGGACACCTGCACCCACATGTTCACCACTGCACAACTCACGATTGCAAAGACATAGAATCAACCTGAATGCCCATCCACCGATCGGTGGATAACAAAAATGGGGTAGATATACACCATGGAAAACCGCACAGCCATAGGAAAAAAATGAAATCATGTCCTTGGCAGCAACACGGACGGAGCTGGGGATCCTCACCCTAAGTCAACTGACTCTGAACAGAAAAATCAAACACCGCATGCTCTCACTCATATGTAGGAGCTGAACCGTCACAACTATGAAAATAACAGGCTGGGCTCGGTGGCTCAGCCTGTAATCCCAGCCCTTTAGGAGGCCGAGGCAATGGATTGCCTGAGCCCGCGGGTTCGAGACCCGCCTAGGCAACTTGGTGAGACCTCATCTCTACAATAAATCAAAAACTAGCCGGGTGTGGAAGCGTGCACCTGTAGTTCCAGCTACCTGGAAGACTGAGGTGGAAGGATCGCTGGGGCCCAGCAGATTGAGGCTGCGGTGGCTGGGAGCGTGCCACTGCACTCCGGTCTGGGTGACAGAGTGAGACTCCAACTTAAAAAAAGAAAGAAAGAAAGAAAGAAAGAAAGAAAATAATAGATGATGGGGACACCAATTAGGGGGAAGAAGGGGAGGGGACTAGGGATCAGAAAGTACCTACGACACCGGGTGCGGTGGCTCAGGCCTGTCATCCTAGCACTTTGGGAGGCCGAGGCGAGAGGACTCTGTGAGCTCAGCCACGGAGACCAGCCTGAGCAACATGGCGAGACCTCGTCTCTACACTACATCAAAAAACTAGCCGTGTGTGGTGGCACATACCCGTGGTTCCAGCTACGGAAGGCGGAGGGAGGGATCACGAGTCCAGTACTCCAGCCTGGGCGAGAGCGAGATGCCGACTCAAAAACACAGCAACTGCTACAGGGCACAATGTTCAGTATCTGGGGAACAGACCACCAATCCCCACAACTACACAACATGTCCACATTCAAACACGCGTGTGTACCCCCTGAATCCAAGATTAAAATAGAGCAAGGAACAAAACCACTGGCCCAACTGGGAGCAAGAGACTTGCAGGTCTTGACTCTGCCCTGCCAAACCCTGGTTGGAAGTGATGAGAGGGCAGGTGCAGTAGCTCGCATCCGTCATCCCAGCACTTTGGAGAGGGACGGCCTGAATCCAGGAGTTCAAGACCAGCCCAGGTCACAGAGCGAGGTCTTGTCTCTACAGAAAAACTAAAAAGTTAGCTGGGAGTGGCAGCACACACCTGCAGTCCTAACAACTCACGATGCCGAGGTGGAAGGATCGCCTGAGCCCAGGAAGTCGAGGCTGTGGTGAGCTGTGATTGTGCCACTGCACTCCAGCCTGGGTGGTCGAGACCCCATTGAAAGAATAAAAAACTAAAATAATGAGGGTGTGACTGTCAGGACTCTTCCTCTCGGGCTGCAACTGCACCTGAGGCAGGCGCTGTCTGGGTGTGGCCTTTTGGAGGCCGTTCCCTCCCACCAGCCGTGGTCTGCCACGCGCTCCCACAGCTTCTGCCCTTGATGCCTAGAGCTCTGGCGCGACTGTAGTGGCGACTGCAAAGACTCCAGCACAGCCCCCAGCCCTCACCAAGCCTGAAACACCAGCCCTTACCGACATCACTGACAAGCCTCTGCTGAGCCCTCGTCGGCAGAAGACTGCCCCAAGGCTTGAGGATCCCCCCCCCAGCACGTCCGTGCGCCCAGGGGCCCCGCTCCTAACCCGTCCTGCTGGCCCCTCCACTCCTCCCAAGAGCTCCTTGAGCTCGTGGGGGAGCCGGTCCCAGGGACACAGCAACTGCCTGCTGGGCGGGAGGCCCAAGCCCAGCGCTGTCTTCAGGACCGTGGGAAGTGGGAGCCTGAGCCCTGAGCCCCACTGTCCACTGCCTTCATGCCACTGTCCAGGGACAACTGTTCAGCAAGAGAACAGGAAAGACGCGCCTGTGGGGCGCGGGAGGAACCCCATGGCGAAGAAGGTCGACACTTTTCAGAGCTGACCGGGCCCAGGCAGGCAGCCCTTCCCTACATGTCACCACGTGAGCTAAAGGGAGGCTCCTGGAGCCAACTGTCAGAAGATCAACCCACAAAATAAGAGCAAAACCCTTCTCGCCCCTATCAAGAAAAGAGAACCAGCCGAGTGTGACAGCTCACACCTGTAATCCCAGCACTTTGGGAGGAAGTGACAGATTGCCTGAGCCCAACTTGCCAAGACCTCATCTCCACGATAAACCAAAAATTAGCTGGGTGAAATTAGGTGGGCGTGGTAGTACACGCCTCTAGTTGCAGCTACTTGGAAGACTGAGGTGGAAGGATTACCAGAGTCCAGCAGGTGGAGGCTCTGGTGGCCATGAGGATGCCACTGCACTCCAGCCTGAGTGACAGAGAGAGACTCCAACTCAAAAACAAACAAAAAAAACTATAAATGGGCAGGGTCAAAACTGTCAAGGTGCTGGAGAGTGTGTCATCTAGTATGCCAATGAGTGTATAATTAAGAAAAACGTGTGCCAGGTGTGGCGGCTCAAGCCTATAATCCCAGCACATTGGGAGGCAGAGACGAGAGGATTGCCTGAGCCCAGGGGTTCGAGACCATCCTGAGCAACTTGGTGATCTTGTCTCCACAATAAACCAAAAAATTAGCCAGGTGAAGCACGCACTTGCAATTCCAGCTACTAAGAAGGCTGAGGTGGAAGGGTCGCCTGAGCCCCAGCAGGTTGAGACTATGATGGCTGGGAGCATGCCACTGCACTCCAGCCTGGGTGAGAGTGAGACTCTGACTCAAAAAAAAAAGAAAAGAGAGCCTCAGGCTTTGGAGAAAGATAAAAGACCCCCAAACCCACAGACACATTGGGCGCAGAGCAGGACCCAGGGTCCCTCTTGCGATGAGGGCCTGGAGACAACCTTCCTTAGGGCTCCTCTGCCTGCGCCACCAGCCAAGATGACCCACCTGTGTTTGCTGGAGGTCTCTTCAGCCTTGGGCCGCCAACCCCACGGCACCAGCTGCAGGTTGTCCAGGCGATTGTCCACGGTCACAGCATTGAGATGCACCACCTGGAACCCGGGGGCCACGCCACCCCGGTGCCGCTCCCTAGGAAACAGACAGCATGCTGTACCTCCACAGCCAAGCCCACAAGAAAGGACAGTCAGAAGCACCTGCCACGCGGTCTGGGTGGGCCCCCGTCCCACAAAGGAGGGCTTGTCAGGGAAGCTGCTGGGGAACCCAAGCATTCAGTCTGTGGCCCAAGCAGACAATGACCACATGGATGACTCCGCTCCCGGACTGCAGGGCTGGACTCAGAAATTAGAAAGGCAAGGATGGAACCCAGAAACCATACACAGGCGGCCCATCCGAGCGCCCCACGCACCTCATCACTGCACCGAGCACACGACAGGCAGCTCATTTCCCAGGGAGGCAGCCCCTTCCCCACGTCCCACCAAGAGACTCTGCGAGAACCCAGTGAGGAGTGCAGACCCCACCCCTCAGAGGTGGCCAGTCCAGAGCGAGTTCCCCAGCAGAAAGTTCAGTTGGTGCTGAAAGTGGCACAACATGAAAATGAGTCCTGCGAGTTGGTGGAAAAGGACACAAAAATAACTCTGAGACTCAGGGGGCAGCCTGAGAGCACCCACCACAGCAACTCATGAAGGAGTCTTCCCGATCCCCGGCCTCGGTTCTTATCAAAGGCATATGCAAAGATCTTAGCACCATTTCCATCTGCATCCACTTCCATGCGGGCCTGAGAATAAATAAGGAAAAGACCATTAAGGAGACTCTAGTTCTTGGGCAGGGCTCCATGGCTCAGCCTGTGATCCCAGCACCTCGGAGGCCGGGGCGAGTGGATCGCCTGTACCCACGGGTTCGAGACTAGCCCGGGCAACTTGGCGAGACCTCGTCTCTACAATAAATAAAAAATTAGCCAAGCATGGTAGTGCCTGGCTACCATGGTAGTTCCAGCTACTTAGAAGGCTGAGGCTGAAGGTTTGCCTGAGCTCAGCAGGTCAACGCTGGGGTGGCAGTGAGCATGCCACTGCACTCCAGCCTGGGTGATAGAGTGAGACTCCAACTCAAAGAAAAAAAAACAAAAAACCAAGAAACCAAGTGAAACGAACCCAAGGCACAAACACAGCCCTGTTCCTGGGACCCTGATCATGCAGAGCTTAGTGTGAACACAACCACTGTCCATTCGGCAAGAAACGCTCACCAACGCTCTTTGCTGAACACTATACACACAGAGAGATACACTTTACTACCCGTAAAAAAGCCCACAGTCCAGTGAGCTGGAGAAACCCCAGACGAGCGGCTGGTGTGAACATGAGAGGTGTGGAGACGAAAGTGTGGTAAAGGAGTCTGCGGCCCAGAAGGGCTCTGAAGAGGGAGCTGGAAGGCCAAGGCATAGCCGCAGGAGCAGAAGCTCCTCACTGGAGAATGCTGGGCAGGGCAGCATGACCGCACTGGAGCACAGAACGGAAGGCAGCTGGGCAGCCAGGGCACGGGCGGGCAGCACCGAGGAGTGGCTTGGATCGCACACACCCCAAAACTGAGTTTTCCTTCAAGAGGAGCTGGCAGCCAGGATGAGCAAAGAGGGACCGGTGGTGGGGCAGAGGCCGCAGGGCCCATGGTGGGCTCCACTAGGCGGTGACGGCCAGGGTCTGCCCAGCCCTCGCTCAATGGATGGCCAAGGGCTCCCAGGCCAGCACCAGAGGTCCACCTGCAAGGCCACTTGTGCTCGTAGCACAGGAAACAAACTCCTGACCCTTCAGGGACGCCAACCAGAACAGGGGAGGAAGAGCCATCCTTACCTCAAAGGAGTAGCTCTCCACCAGCGGGATGTCTTGCTCGTCTATCAGGGTGTATTTGGTCTGGAAGTTAAGCACATGTTTCAAACCCTCACCTTTGGGCCTGCGAGACCACAGCAGCAGCACCACCCGCGACAAGCAGGCAGGAGCTGCATGCCATCGAAGTCAGCCACAGGGGCCTCACTCAGCTCGGCTGGGCAGGGGCAGTCGGCGCCACAACGCAGACAGACCCGTCAGAAGCGGGCCGCTGCTCGCTGGGGTCTGTCCCAGCAGAGCAGATGTCAGGCCTCAGGGCCCAGCCACACCGGCCCAATCCCCACACGGCACAGGACTTTAATGCACCCATTCGCCTGGCCCACGACGAATGCACTTGAGCAGGGGCAGGGGCCGAGAGGAGGCAGAACATTCAGGGTTCAGCTGGCTCTCGACATACTCGGAAGGCTGGGCGGCTACGCTGGGTGCTCGCTGAGCTCCCCTCGGCCTTCTGTGCGTCTGAAAGGCTGCTAACGACAGCTCCGACCACGACAAGGCTGTCAGAGTCGCAGCTGGCCGGGAGCCCGTCCCTCCCCGGGCGGGAAGCTGCGTCCCAGCCGTCGCGCCCGAGCTCGCGCAGGAGGCCAGGAAGCGCGACCC